TACTACTACTACTACTATTACTACTACTACTACTACTACTACTACTACTACTACTACTGCTACTGCTACTGCTACTACTACTATTACTACTACTTCTACACTATTACTACTTCTACCGATTATTTATTTATTTATTTAATTATTATATAACATAACAGAAATTATGTTTTATTTAAGGATTAAACTGATTTGTGTTTGGTTCAAATACGTCGTTTGTTTTATTTCGATTACTTGTTTCAGTTGCCACCACCAGCCTTCCCAACCATGGTTACATCTACATTTTCTATCCATCCTGAAAATATATATATATATATATTTTATATATAAATATATATAATATATATATATATGTATATGTGTGTGTGTATATAATCTTCTACTACTTCCCAACATTCCTCGTTGCTCACAGAGACTGACGTAATCGATGCGTAGCACGCGCGAGCGCAGCGTACACCGACGTTTCGCTGGACATTTACTGCACGCTCGTCGATCGTGGTTCGTAACATTTCTATTATTATCTTCGTTCCATCGTGGGCGACTCTGTGGAACCGGCAACAATTTTCTGTTCATCGAGAATTGAATCGCGCGTAAAGAGAGCAAGTAAGTAAACTCGCTCTTAAAACGCTCTTTAACCGGCACGCGAATCTCCTTATTATTTCTCATCGAAAATCTGTGATCTCGAAGACAACTCGTATTCTCGTGCCGAGTCGATGCGTTGAGAAATTGATCATCGATATCCGCGTTGCGATACGAACTTGTATTTAGAAGATGGGGGTGTCTTTTTTTCTTCTTTTTTTTTTTTTTTAGTTTGGCCAACGATCATCGAGTCATGTATCGATTGTTGAACGGTATCGATGGTCAACCGATGGTTCCAACCGCGCGCCCACGATCATAGAGATTAAAAAGGAAACGGTTTGGTGATATTATCCGGAAGATAAGAGAAGATAACCGATTGTTAAAAGTACAAATGCCACGGGACGGCCGCGCGAGTAGCTTTGAATACTCTCGTGCGCATTTCGGTTATATATTACTGCCCATGTTGCGCCAATAAAACATTAAAAACTATATAACGAAACAAAGGCTTGTTGAAATGTGAAACCAATAATCGTTAACGAACGAGGACGTAGTCCCTCGGTGTACCTGAAACCGGGTATCGAAAGGGAATTTGTGGAAACTGTGCGCCAAGAGGAAAGAGTATGAAACGTGACCGAACTAGAAGTAATATCTACGGAGATGGGAAGAGGAGCGAGGTGTTAAGAGCAGTGGTGGTGGATCTGAGATTGAGAAACAGGGATGTTTCATCCCCTTTCCCTTTTGGCGAGTGATACGATCGTCGATAGTCAACAAAGCTGCTCAATTTAGCGCACATAGTAGATGTTATTCGATGCTAGACAGACTCGAACGAGTCGAAGAGACGCACAACGCGACGAGGATTAACTTCGTCGGGGGACGAACTCGATGGACGAACCGTTGGATCGCGCAAACCCTGTCCCGTTCTTTTCAAAGACGAAAAAGCCGCTTGACAGCCGCTAGGAGAGAGAGCGAGAGAGAGAGAGAGAGAGGTAGAGAGAGAAAATGGAAATCGTTCGATCGAGGCAAGAACGTAAAAAGATGGAAAGGGAATATTATGGGAGTGAGAGGAAAGGAAAGAAAGGGAATGATGAGAAAGAGAGAAAATGAGAGAGAGAGAGAAAGGAGAAAGAGACGTGATGAAAAACAGCAAGAGTGAGGGGGGAACACGCTAATCTACTTAACTATATAAAATTATATTATTACCATATGATTATTACGTTAGATATACATTATGTGTATTGTATTTATGTCTTAATAATCGTTGTTAGTTATATCGCTATCGATGATGACGATGATAATGAGCGTTTCGGTTATCGGTGATAGAAGAGATAGAGAGAGAGAGAGAGTCAGAAAATCGGACATGTACACACATACACGCGTACCATTCACAGGGAACATATAGGGAACACACATTTACGCGATATTGGCACCGCGTGCCTATTCTCAATGATAAGACTCGATGATAAGGAGGGAACGATTTTGATAATAGAACATCGGATCGACTTTCGAACCGATTTCGAACGCTTTTAGAGTTGGTTGCGAAGGATACGAGAAGTATTTTAGTTGCGATTCTTATTTATATTAAATTGAAAATATCGAGCAATCGTCTCGATGTTCGTGAACAGAAATTTATTAAAAAAATTTACTTAAAATCTTTATTATCTGTGGTATAAAACTTTTAATAAACTCATTTCGTGTGAACCGTTTTGAAATCGGCCCGGGCAAATGGCAAGATGCATTCGCGATTTTTTACACGATTTCACCGACAGACGAGCAATAGTAAAAAAAAAAAGAAAGAAAGAAAGAAAAAAAAGAGAAAATACTCTTCATTCAAGAGTTGCATTTAACGTTAGCCGCATTTCTAATATTCATTACGCATAAGGATTAGTAATTTCGTACTACTTTTGTACTCTTTAACCGATGAAGAAGGGGATAAGAAGTGTTTCCAAGAGGTGAAGATATTCAGAATGTGATTTATTAATTCGTTCGATTGCGATGTAAGAAAAATCAGGTATATACGTACGGTGAGGAACGGACTTTGCTTCTCCAATATCTTTTAATCAAGTCGAATTTTCCCATTCTCTCTTTATTAAATTACAGAAACGAACTTCTTCAGCTTCTTCGATCATTCCTCATTTTATTCGTTTGACGAAAACGGAAATGTTGCCATTATATAAAATTAGTTTTAGTATTCGTTGATAAAAATCCTTAGATTCGAATCTCGAGGGCAAGGCTCCTGTTCTTTCTTCCGTCCCATAGCATAGCGTATAGTATATGTAGAGCATTAAAAAAAAAAAAAAAAAAAAAAGGCGCAAATATGGAGAATTTTCCACCCGATATCGATCACCGCACACACTTGAAAATCTTTGGATTCTCGACGAAAGCCCGTGAAGTTTTCTTCTTCGTTAAAATTCGGATAAGATCGGATCGATTTTCGAAAAGAGATGGAAACAACCAACGAAATGAAACAGGATAATCCAAAATGGATCCATCAACTGATGATATCGATTTGAAAGATCGATGAAATGGTTTTGGGGATATACGCAAACGACGATCGATCAACGAGTCTCTTGATCAAGAGACTCTTTTAATCCTTTTGATTAAGAATACGCATTTCTTCGGGAGATCCAACCGGTGAATAATTAACTTAGAAACTACGATTTCGAATGCACGTAAGAATGCACAAAAAATATTTTGTAAGATTACGGTGGGAATCGAAGGATGTTCATATATATATATATATATTGTTCACCGGAAATGATCTCGCGATATGAAATACGTCGCTGTCAGTTTGAACAACGCACAATATTGTCCTTATTCGACAGCTTGTCGATCGAAAATTCATGGGTGCGTTGATCGTCGATCCAGAGAATTGTCTCTCATTATCGTCGTCGTCGTCGTTGTCTTTTCTCGTCATTGATTCGCGTGATTCATTATCATCATGGTAGCCGCATTCGAGATACTCGGTGATCGCTGTTGTCGCACTTGTCGATCGTTATTATGTTCGAACGATCATCGATGATTTTTCGATCGCGTATCGATACCAAATCGTGTGAGAAGTCGACGATTTCGTTTTTTCACGTCTCACTATCGTACAAAGATCTAGGATGGAACGATCCAGGGAGCTTCAAAAAAGGAAAAATACAAAAAAAAAGAAAGAAAGAAAGAAAGAAATCGATCGTGAAACGAAAGTAAAAAATTTCTTCCTCGAAATTATTACGAAATTTCTTAAAAGAAATTGAATTAATTGTCGATTGCAGGAAATTTCGACCGATAGGACGTGGCATAATCGTGGTTCTTAATCGATCGCGATGGATTTATAGATCGTTTAGCATGCACGTGATTGTTCCAGCCGGCCGGCTATGATATTAACGGATATTATACGAAACGAGGTAGAGAGAGATCGTCGTTGCACAGGGCGCGAGATTAAGCAGCAGAAGCAACCCAAGAGCGAAGCGAGCAAAAAAGAACAAAATAAAGGGTAATAAACAATTCTCTTCCAATTTGTACCGAAGCGATTAAATACCGCAGAGACTGAGATTTTAGGCGAAGTTAATTAGCTCCGAAATGATCGTGGCTGCGATCGATGATACTCTCCTGAAACTTCCAGGGAAACTAGATACCCCCAAAATCGCAAAAAAAAGAAAAAAAGAAAAAAAAAAAAGAAAAAAAAGAGAGAGAGAAAGAGAGAGAGAAGATAACAAAAAGAAAACGTCGTTTTTCTCGTGGACTTAGGAGAGAAGAACAAAGAGCGTTTAGAAACTAGCTGTTTAGAGATTAATATCGTGAACCCCCTGCGATTAGGATAAATCGATCGAGCCTTTCGCCGCCACTGAGCTTCTCGTCCGCGCGTCGATCTCTCTTCGAGATTTTAGAAGAGTTTAAAAAACTCGACTAAACGACTGGCAAACGATTCATCGATTCCATCGAATCGAGAATGAAGAACGATGAAGAACGGGGAATTAAAGGGGGATGCTCGGTGGCGCGAGGCGCGATGAGGCCGGAACGAGAATAGGCTCCCGACTTTTTGAATCGTTTTTTCTTTTCTAGGAAAAGCAGCAAGTGACAATTCGCGAATTTTCGAACGAACTTTTTTCTAGCGGACTGACGTGATGCTTGGGGTGGCGGAAGGGGTGAACGAAATCGAGGGAAATTCAAGGAGCAGAGAGAGAGAGAGAGAGAGAGAGATAGAGATAGAGAAAATATCGACGAACATCGCTTGTTTTACTCGGGCCAAGAATCGAATTAGAAAAAAAAAAGTAAAAAAAAAAAAAAAAAAACGATAGATTTTCCGTCTCGATCCCCCTCCCGTCGCTCGACGAAGCGACTTTTTTCTCGTTTAAACAACGTGCCGGGCTTTCGAGCTTCGATCGTCTCGTCAGCTTCGCGGCTTACTCGTCGAGCGTCCAGTACACCCCCTTTTCGTAATCGTCGAATCATTACCCTTCCCTCCGCGCCTCGATCCTCCTCTCCCCTCTTNCTCCCTCCCTCCCTCCCCGCTCCTTGTGGTTTTCTTTTTTTACGCCCTCGTTATCGGGACTCATACATTCGAGGCTCACTCCACCTCTTTTCTCACTTTGTCGACGATCTCGACCTCTTGGTTTCCCCTTGTTTTCTTCATCCCCCGTTTTGTTCCGCTTCGATTGTTTCTGCGAGTTCTCAGAAAGCTGGATATTTCTTTGATCGAGAAAGGCGGTGTACTCGACCCTGGGCCGGGATATAAAACCAAAGAAAAAAAGATATATATATATATATAGATAGATAGAGAGAGAGAGAGAGAAAGAGAGAATGTGTGTGCGTGTGTGTTTGTTTAAGCTAGAGAGAAAGAGAGAGAGAGAGAGAGAGAGAGATAGAATAAGAGAGAATGCAAGCGCGAGAGAGTGTGTGCGCGAGAGAGGAAAGGGAGAAAGGGAGAAAGAGTGTGAAGAGGCGCCGTATATATATCGGGGGAGGATGAAATTATTTTTACGCGTTCTCGAGCACATCGTTCGACGGATGCGCTACGTGGACGTTGAAAAGTCGTAAATAAACTGGGAAAAATCGCTGAAATAAATCGGGGAAAAATAGAGAGTGAAAGAGTGGGGAGAGAAATTGTCGCGAGAACAAAAAAAGCAGCTCTAGCTCATAGTAGGCCTAACTAAACGAAATAAAGCGAACAAACAGAGAGAAAGAGAGAGAGAGAGAGAGAGAGAGAGAGAGAGAGAGAGAGAGATGAGAAGTATTTATATACTTAAACTAACTAATTAAAAAAAAAAAAAAAAATGAGCGAAAAAGGGAGAGAATGAGACCGATGAGAGATAGATGGAGGAAGAGAGAGAGAAAAAGAGAGAGAGAGAGAAAAGAGAGAGTCGATCGGCAAATTAAAAGGAGAACGAAAGAGACTGATTGCGTGAAAGAGATTTCGAGAGAAAGAAGATGTAAGAAAGAGAGAGAGAGAGAAAGAGAGAGAGAGAAATTAAGAAAAAAAGAGATAGAAAATACTAAAAAAAAAAAAAAAAAAGTCCTCGAGAAATTATCTCGAGGCAAGTCACTCGCGGATCAACAAAAAAAGCCGATGAACTACTCTTTAACAAAAGAAGAAAAAAAAGAAAAAAAGAAAAAAAAAATAAGAAGAATGAAGTAGGAGGAAAAAAGTTGGGGGTGTAAATACAGAAGGCTAGAAAAAAAATGCCGAAAGTGAGAGAGGAGTATAAGAGAGGAAGATAAAAATGGCTAACGAAAGAGGAGGAGTGAGATGGGATAGTGGGGGAAGAAAGAGATAATCTATAATCTTCTGTACATGTTTTGATTATTCTAATTATTAATTATCGTAACTTATAATAACTATTAATTAATTAAATTAATTGATATCTATGGAACTGTATTTAAACGACAAAAAAAAAGTGGTAGCTAGTTTGTCAATGGGTGTATAAATATTTAATTACGATAACTCTATAGTGATACTAAAAAAAATGAACAACAAAACAAAAAACAACAACAAAACAATTACCACAGAACAACAAACAAACAAACAAATAAACAAATATCCAGGAAAATGTGCGCGTGCGGAAAAAAAAAAAAAAGAAACAAAAGGGATGATCGAATCAGATCGAATGCGATTGATTGAATGATAACGAGAGAAAGGGGAAAGAATGGATGGATGAGGAAAAACAAAAAAAAAAAAAAAATACGTGACTAAAATACACAATTAAGAAAAACACGCATACACATACACACAAGCATCAAGATGATATACAGTATATGTAATTAATTCAAACTTTAAACGAGGAAGGAAAAAGCGAAGCGAAATGAAAACATAATTAAAATTGAAGGGAAAAAAAAGGAAAGAAACGTAAATGGATTGAAAATCGAGCGCGGATATTATTATTAGGGATGATCGGATTAATTTTCTGGGTTGGTCGAG